GGTAAAAACCACCCTGGCACCCTCCGGGACTGGCTTCACACACTCCCTGGAGTGGCTTTGGTTGGGGAACTGTCCAAACTGCCCAGGAATGAGCCATTCACAGAATATGCTGACAAGGAAGGGACCCCCATGGCTGCAGCACTGGGACCTTCATTTCTTTTTCCAAGGGCCGGTGTTTCCCCAGGCAGGTCAGGCACCGACCTCTCCTTCATATCAGGGCTTCCCATGGGGGCTTCTGGTGCCCCACAGACCCTTCTCACAGAACCATGGAATATCCTGAGCTGGAAGGGACCCACAGGGATCATCCAGTCCAACCCTTAGCCCTGCACAGGACACTCCAACAATCCCATCATGTCCCTTGGAGCATTGTCCAAACACTCCTTGAATCCTGTCAGGGTTGGATGCTCAACCACTGCCCTGGGGAGCCTGTTCCAGTGCCATTCCCTTTTTTTTTTTTGGAATGCTGTGGGAGATTTCACAGCATGGACATGTCCATCCTGGGTCTGCTGGCAACAGGGCCGGTGAATGGCCCCTCCCTGGTGCTGGAAGCACAGATGGCCCCTGGGAAGGGCAGAGGTTTGTCCCTGTGTGCCCAGAAGTTGTTTCAGGGCTGCTGGGCCGTGTCATTAACCAAAATTAGGTGATTTGGCCACTTCTGAAGTCCCCCCATGAAGAACAGCTGCTGGACTCGGGGACACGAAGCTGCGGCAGCTTTGCCTCGGTTCAGCTGCCGGGTTCTGGTGCCCTTCCCAAAGATGCCACCACTCAATTGCCAAGAATTCCTGCTGCACGTGGCAGGGAGGGGGGGAGCTGGAGCCCCGTAGAGGGGCCAGGATCTGGGTGAGAGGAGGTGCCCTTACCCACACATGTCCTGGCAGTGCCATCCAGGGTCAGCCCCTCGGGGCACTCGCAGCGGAAGGAGCCGGCGGAGTTGACGCAGCGCCCGTTGGGGCAGACACCGGGGAACACCTCACACTCGTTCACGTCTGTGGGCACAGAAGCAGGAGAAGGGCGTGAGACTGGCACAGGGACAAGGCCAGCACGGCCTCCAGGGCCTCCTGGAGGAGATGGAAGGAGCCCAGAGCTGCCCTGCCAGACTAAAAAGTGACAACTCGCTCCACATTGTCCCTGCACGGCCACAGCCAAGCCCAGCCAGGGGCTGAGCACAGACAGACAGACAGACAGACAGAGGCCACATGTCCACAGGGAGCCCAACAAAGGGTCAGAAGGTGTAGAACCTCCCCTCCCAGACTTGGAGGGGCAGGACAGCAGCAAATGAACAATGACCACGATCCCAAGGGAAACAGTTTCCCGTGTCCTGCTGCAACTGTACCTTCACAGGTGACCCCCTTCATCCGGGCGTATCCCCGGGGACAGGCAGTGTCTGCAAGGAAAGATGGGAATGTCAGCAGAGGAACGGGCTGCTCCTGCCTTCCTGATCTCCCAGAGGATCAGGGAATATCCTGAGCTGGGAGGGTCCCACAAGGATCATCCAGACCAGCTCCTGGCC